ACACTATGATCTAGATTACTTTTCTTCAGAAGGGGTTTCACCACAGCTATTTTAAAGGCAATGGGGAAGACACCGATCTGAAGAGAGCAGTTTACAATGCTTAAAATTTCATTCTCAAAGAATCTATAAAATGAATGAAAAAGTGGTGAGGGAATTGGGTCTAAGAGGCAGGTGGTTGGTTTGACTTGTGATAAAACTCTGCCGAGCAGCTCTGCATCAACCATATCAAACTTGTCCAGTGTTTGCTCAGGTGAAAACAAGCATTCAATAGATTTGAAACCAATATTTTGCTCAGATAAAATGTTAGCTCTAATTGACTCAATCTTACCTCTGAAGTGATTTGCAAACTGCTCACAAAGAGAGTTAGTTGGAGTATTTGAAGAAGCAGTAAAGTCAGGGTTAATCAGATTATCAATGGTGGAAAACAAAACTTTGGGATTATTTTTGTGATTGTTAATTATTTTAGCAAAATATGCATTTCTTGAATTTCTGACAGCAGAATTGTAGATATTAAGCTGTTCGCGCATTATTTGGTAGTCAATTGTCAATTTGTTTTTCCTCCATTTCCTCTCTGCTTTCCTGCTATTTCTTTTGAGTTTCTTTATGTCTTCAGTTTTCCACGGGCATACTCGTTTAATAAAAACTTTTTTTGAAAATAGTAGAGCTACATGATCCAGGTTTGTTTTCAGTTTGTTAAAAAATTGACTGACCATTGAATCACAGGAAGCAGTTAAAATAAGAGGGGAATTTTGGGTAAAATCTCTAATGAAATTATCAATCACCTCAGGGGTAAGATGGCGCCTCCTCACAGTTCGGACCGTGGCTTTCCGCTGAATCAAATCAGTGACATTAAAAAACACACAATAGTGGTCAGACACAGCCAGGTCAACAACAGAGGACACACCAGAGGCCAAGCCATAGGTAATAACAAGGTCAAGGGTGTGTCCCCTGTTGTGAGTTGGCTGCTTGACGTGCTGAATAAAATCCATACAGTTCAGAGTTTCTAAAAACTGTTTTGACAAAGAATCTGACGGATTATCAACATGTAGATTAAAATCACCAGTCACAATAATCTTATTATACTTAGCATGAATAAAACATAAAAACTCTGAAAACTCAGTCATAAAATCAGAAACATGTCCGGGTGGTCTGTAAACAGTAATACAAAGTATTGGCAAGCTGCTAAAAACAAAGGCATGATGCTCAAAAGACGGGTACTGGTCAAATGAAATCTCTTTAACAGCCAGTAAATTATTAGATATTGAGGCAGTGCCACCACCTTTTCTGCCACTTCGAGCATTAAAAGAAAATTTAAAACCAGGTGGAAAGGCCTCAGTAAGAACAACTGGTGCATCTGCACCTAACCAAATTTCTGTTAAAAACAGACAATCCAATTTAAAATCTGAAATCAAATCATTTATAATAAAAGATTTGTTTGAAAGAGAGCGGACATTTAAAACAGCCATAATGCACAGGCGTGTGCAGGAAATGGGCTACAGGTGCCGCATTTCCCAGGTCAAGCCACTTTTGAACAAGAGACTGCGTCAGAAGCATCTCGCCTAGGACTGCTGCTGAGTGGTCCAAAGTTATGTTCTCTGATTACAGTAAATTTTGCATTTCCTTTGGAAATCAAGGTCCCAGAGTCTGGAGGAAGAGAGGAGACACAGAATTCACATTGCTTGAGGTCCAGTGTCAAGTTTCCACTGTCACTGGGGTGTCATGTCATCTGCTGGTGTTGGTCCACTGTGTTTTATCAAGGGCAGGGTCAATGCAGCTAGCTATCAGGAGATTTTGGAGCACTTCATGCTTCCATCTGCTGAAAAGCTTTATGGAGATGAAGATTTCATTTTTCAGCATGACCTGGCACCTGCTCACAGTGCCAAAACCACTGGTAAATGGTTTACTGACCATGGTATTACTGTGCTCAATTGGCCTGCCAACTCTCCTGACCTGAACCCCATAGAGAACCTGTGGGATATTGTGAAGAGAAAGTTGAGAGACGCAAGACCCAACACTCTGGATGAGCTTAAGGCCGCTATCGAAGCATCCTGGGCCTCCATAACACCTCAGCAGTGCCACAGGCTGATTGCCTCCATGCCACGCCACATTGAAGCAGTCATTCATACAAAAGGATTCCCGACCAAGTATTGAGTGCATTACTGAACATGATTATTTGAAGGTTAGTGTTTTATGTATTAAAAACACTTGTCTTTCATTGGTGGGATGAAATATGCTAATTTTTTGGGACAGGCATTTTGGGTTTTCATGAGCTGTATGCCATAATCATCAGTATTAAAACAATTAAAGACCTGAAATATTTCAGTTGGTGTGCAATGAATCTGAAATATATGAAAGTTTCATTTTTATCATTACATTATGGAAAATAATGACCTTTATCACAATATGCTAATTTTTTTAGAAGGACCTGTACAGTGTGTTGTACAGTGTGTTGTACAGTGTGTAGTACAAATTGTACAGCGTGTAGTACAGTGTGTTGTACAGTGTGTAGTACAGTGTGTTGTACAGTGTGTAGTACAAATTGTACAGCGTGTAGTACAGTGTGTTGTACATTGTGTAGTACAGTTTGTTGTACAGTGTGTTGTACTGTGTGTAGTACAGTGTGTTGTACAGTGTGTAGTACAGTGTGTTGTACAGTGTGTTGTACAGTTTGTTGTACAGTGTGTAGTAGTTTGTTGTACAGTGTGTAATACAGTGTGTTGTACAGTGTGTTGTACATTGTGTTGTACAGTGTGTAGTACAGTTTGTTGTACAGTGTGTAGTACAGTGTGTTGTACAGTGTGTAGTGCAGTGTGTAATACAGTGTGTAGTACAGTGTGTTGTACAGTGTGTTGTACAGTTTGTTGTACAGTGTGTAGTACAGTTTGTTGTACAGTGTGTAATACAGTGTGTTGTACAGTGTGTTGTACAGTGTGTTGTACAGTTTGTTGTACAGTGTGTAGTACAGTTTGTTGTACAGTGTGTAATACAGCGTGTTGTACAGTGTGTTGTACAGTGTGTTGTACAGTGTGTTGTACAGTGTGTTGTACAGTGTGTAGTACAGAGTGTTGTACAGTGTGTTGTACAGTTCGTTGTACAGTGTGTTGTACAGTGTGTAGTACAGTGCGTTGTACAGTGCGTTGTACAGTGTGTAGTACAGTGCGTTGTACAGTGCGTTGTACAGTGTGTAGTACAGTGTGTTGTACAGTGTGTAGTACAGTTCGTTGTACAGTGTGTAGTACAGTGTGTTGTACAGTGTGTAGTACAGTGTGTAGTACAGTGTGTTGTTCAGTGTGTTGTACAGTGTGTAGTACAGTGTGTTGTACAGTGTGTAGTACAGTGCGTTGTACAGTGTGTAGTACGGTGTGTTGTACGGTGTGTAGTACACTGTGTAGTACACTGTGTTGTACAGTGTGTTTCAGAGGATGCACTCATCATTATTGTTCGTTTTGCAGGTTTTTCCTACACAGCGTGGTCTCAGCTCTGCTGGGTGTTTGTCTGGTTCTGGTTTTCTCTTCGTACATCTTTATAGAATTTTTTCTGGACCCATCCAAACTTCGCACGGACAAACATTTCCTGGGTAAGACATGACCTTTGACTTGTAAGAGAAAGAAGCTGGTGACCAGTATAAATCAGCCAGGTGTGTGTGTCCACCCACAGTGAGGAATGAGACGGGTGTGTGGTTCGTCTTCCTCCCTGTGGCCCCTCTTAGGTCAGCAGCAGCGGTTATTCCTTGTCTTGCTGCTGTCACCATCGCTCTGGGTCTGCTGTCTTCCGTGCTACTCTGCCACCTGCTCTGCTTCCATATTTACCTGAGTAAGACAACTCACCTGACTGTCCACCTGTTTGGTGATTCTCTCTGAAAACTCACCTTCACTATCAGAGTAAGCAGAGCACAAACTTTTTGTTGCCCACCACTATAAAAGACGAGCAATCATGTAACTGTCTGTGTATGTCTTTGTGTGTTTATTTCTCTGTCAGCAAATATCATCATGAACCGGTGGACAGATTTTATTGAAGTTCTCAGAATGTCATCATTGATTGTAGGGACGCATCAATACCACATTTTTTTAAATTTAATTCTTTTTTTTTCTTCCCATTTAATAGTCATTAAACTATTGTCAGATTTAATGTTTTCATGATAATACAGAGCCAGGGTCGGAACCCCAATGCCACTGCCTATGGCATCATGCACCTGACTTGTATGGCCCCTCCTGCAGGTGGTGGGCCCACAGGAAGGCAAACCCATGTTGGTCATTGGGGCTCAGCCCGACCAGGCCCAATGGGTAGAGACCCGGTCACCAGGCGTTCACCGACGAGCCCCTCCCCCAGGCCTGGCTCCAGGGTGTGCCCCGGTAACCCACGTCCGGGCAAAGGACACTGAGTTCCTTGTTTTTTCCTGTCCATATAAGTCTTCTGAGTGGAGGAGTTCAAGTATTTCAGGGTTTTGTTCACGAGTGAGGGAAGGATGGAGCGTGAGATTGACAGACAGATTGGTCAGCATCTGCAGTATTGTGGACTCTGTGCTGGTCAGTTGTGGTGAAGAGGGAGCTGAACTGTAAGGCAGAGTTCTCTATTTATCTGTCAGTCTATGTTCCTACCCTCGCATGAACTCTGTGTAGTGACAGAAAGAATGAGATCATGGATACAGGTGGTTGAAATGAGTTTCCTCCGCTGGACTCTCCCTTAGAGATAGGGTGAGAAGTTCAGTTATCAGGGAGAGACTAGGAGTAGAACTGCTGCTCCTCCACATCAAGAGGAGCCAGTTGAGGTGGTTCAGGCATCTGGTAAGGATACTCCCTGGGCGCCTCCCTAGGGAGGTGCTTCGGGCATGTCTGACTGGGATAGAGACCCCGGGGAAGATCCAGGACACGCTGGAGAGACTATGTCTCTCAGTTGGCCTGGGAACTCCTTGGAGTCCTCCCAGAAGAGCTGTGGAAAGAGATGTCTGGACCTCCCTGCTCACACTGCTGCCCCCGAGACCTGCGTTTGGAATAAGCAGAAGCTGATGGATGGATGGATGATGAAACAGGAACCACATCCCTCCTGTATCTAAAGCTGTAAAGGCTGTCCTGAGAAGTTAAAAGGATTGTCTCAAATGAGTTTGGAAAACATCGCCCTGTGTTTATTTGGCATCACGTGATGCCAAATTTTGCAGTTTTGCATTTACAAACAAATATGAGGCAATAAGCCTCATTTACCACCTGACTGCTTCATCTGGCAGGTAAACGTGTGAAATGTATTGGGTACTGTAGTATTAAAACATATTTATGTGTACACTACATATACACAGTCTTGGACAGATACCTGGTACTGCTATCAGTACCGGTGCATCCCTAAGTGAATGTACATGTACAAGTGATTAATTTTTGGAGTTCATCCAGTTCAAGATGGCTACAGACACACAATGATGATGGAAACTGAAAAATGGCAAAAACTTAGTTAGTTTGACTGATTTTGAGCTAAACTATGATGCGATAGTACAAACCGGATTCCAAAAAAGTTGTGACACTAAACAAATTGTGAATAAAAACTGAATGCAATGATGTGGAGGTGCCAACATCTAATATTTTATTCAGAATAGAACACAAATCACAGATCAAAAGTTTAAAGTTACAGAATTTATAATTTTAGGGGAAAAATATGTTGTTTCCAAATTTCATGGCGTCAACAAATCCCAAAAAAGTTGGGACAAGTCCATTTTTACCACTGTGTGGCATCCCCCCTTCTTCTTACAACACTCAACAGACGTCTGGGGACAGAGGAGACCAGTGTCTCAAGTTTAGAAATAGGAATGCTCTCCCATGCATGTCTAATACAGGCCTCTAACTGTTCAATAGTCTTGGGCCTTCTTTGTCACACCTTCCTCTTTATCCAAAAAAGTTCAATCTGGTCCTCTGGACATTCAAAAAACAAGAAAACAAAAAAACAAAAAAACAAAGCAAAAAAATGTAGAAACGTTTCGTCTCTCATCCAAGAGACTTCCTCAGTCTGAGGTGCTGTATTCAGCTCAGTCTCTTAAATAGCACCTTCTCAGAGTGGATCAACCAGTTTGCTGCTGACAACCAAAACCAGCTGCTCACATGGTCAAGAAGGATCATCAGCCTAACAATGGATCATTAGCACACTGATGGCTTTTTACTATTCACAGGGGGTTGAGTGATACTAGCAATCACAGCATTGTAAGAGGGGGACAGTTGAACCCGGAGGCCTCCACCCCTGTTTAATGATGGACGATTTCTTTTCACAAAGATGGCCTCTTTGACTCCTCTCTCAAACCATCGTTCCTCTCTGTCCAGGATGTGAACATCTTCATCCCTGAAAGAGTGACCGCTGGCCTGGAGATGAGTGTAGACTGTCGAGTCCTGGCCTGATGATGTTGATCTTCTGTGCTGGGCCATCCTTTTGGCCAGTGGCTGGTTAGTTTCCCCGATGTAAGACTGATCACAGCCCTCCTGACACTGAACAGCATACACACAATATTACTCTGTTTGTGCCGGGGGACTGGATCTTTGGGATGAACCAGTCTTTGCCGTAATGTATTTTGGGGTTTAAAAGCCACTGGGACGTTATGTTTAGAAAATAAACGTCTCAGTTTCTCTGATACTCCCTCAACATATGGAATGACCACTGATCTGGGTCTGGGTTCCTCCTTTTCACCTGATGGCTGACTGGAGTCCTGTTTGGGTTTCTTCTCTGCTTTCAGGAAGGCCCAGTTAGGATATCCACCTAGAGCCTGTTGATGTGGTGTGGTCAGTAAAAGTTGATGTGGTCAGTAAAAGTCCAAAGGAAGTCCAACACTTTACTGACCACATCAACTCTGTGGATAAATACATCAAGTTCACACGAGAAGATGTATAAAATGGCAGGTTGGCTTTCTTGGACTGTGAGGTCTCAGTCTCTGATAGAGGACTTTTGCAAACCGAGGTGTACTGCAAACCCACCCACACAGACCAGTATTTGCAGTTTGACTCCCATCACCCTTTGGAGCACAAGTTAGGAGTCATCAGGACTCTGTACCACAGAGCAGACAGCATCCCCACTAACTCAGGAGCCAGGCAGAAGGAGAAATCCTACACAAGACACCATTCTCATATTGCTGCACTATCTTTCTGTGCAACAGTGGTGGAATTGGTGATCCTCTTCCCATCTTGGCTTCTGAGAGACACTGACACTCTGAGAAGCTCTTTTTATACCCAATCATGTTGTCAATTGGCCTAAATAGTGTTAATTGGTCTTCCAGCTGTTCGTTATATGCTCAATTTCCTTTTTTCCAGCCACTTATTGCTACTTGTCCCAACTTTTTTGGGATTTGTTGACACTGTGAAATTTTGAATCAACATATTTTTCCTTTAAAATGTTACATTTACTCAGATTAAACTTTTGATCTGTCATCTATGTTATATTACGAATAAAATATTGACATTTGCCATCTCCACATCATTGCATCAGTTTTTATTCACAATTTGTTTAGTGTCCCAACTTTTTTGGAATCTGGTTTGTAGCTGAAAGTCATTCTCAAAGAGTTTCAAGGGCTAACAGATTACAAACATTTTTGTTTCAAACTTCAGCAGGTAAGGAGGCAGTGATATTTACTAGTATTTGACCTTGAATTGTTAATTTAATAACTCTTCCTGGTGTGTGAATATTTCCCAGCTGCTTTCTAACACTGTCCTCACAAAACTAAGTACAGATATGTCTGTGTGTGTGTGTGTCACAGTGTGGAACAGACTCAGCACATTTGAGTACATTGTACGACAGCGCCACCGTCTAGACGGCAGAGACTCAAAGAAACCAGCTTCGGTGAAGGAAACTGGACTGCCCCCATTTGTTCAGGTCAATGACTGTCACTTTGCTGCAGGGGGAAGGGGTAGGACTCTTGGCTTTGAGCATCTGTCCTCTGCTGTCCCTCTACAGGATGTGAACTACTCAGGGACTCTGGGTTACACCAACCCTCAGCTGGATTTGGAAGAGCCGACCGCTGTGGCTGTGCATGGCGACACAGAGTAAGTCCTCTTTCTGTTGAGTTTCTTCCTGAAATTGAATCAGGTATAGATCCACATCTGTAGGTCTGCCCTAGACTGGCTGTGGTTGGCCGAGGGGTTCTGACTGACCCGGTTCTGACAAGTCTCAGTAAACAGCCAACAAAGGCTCTTTCATACCACAATGAGGCTGGACCTTGTTGCCATGGAGATAGTTTTCTTTACAGAAAACAAAGTGTGCAAAATGAAATCCTTTTGGCTGTGACTTTCAGGAAGCAAACAAAGTGTGTGTGTGTATGTGTGTGTGTGTGTGCGCGCGTGTGCGCGCACGCACTAAGGGAGGAGATCTAACAGAAGGTCTTTATAAGTAACTTCCGTCACTGTTCCAGTTCACCCTGAACCTCTTCTGTTAGAATAATGGAAACAAGGGGTTGAAGCAGGAGAAGTGAGCAGACAAATCAGGATTTATTCTTGCACAGTCACTCTTGAGATGATTTTGAAAGTAACATGCTTTATTTTCATGCTTTCATGAGACTTAGAAGAAGATATAGGGAGAATACTGAGCTGATCCACGGTTTGATGGTGCTCCTCATTCACCACTTCATTCACCCTCAGCTGCTTCTGATAATTTCAATTCAGTTTATTTATGTAGCACCAAATCACAGCAGAAGTCATCTCAGGGCACTGAACAGGAACATTCACATACATTAAAAAAAGCCAATTAATAATGTTCTCTATCTAAGGAAGCCAGCAGACAAGTTGAATCTTCACTTTGTTGCAGTCTCCCATCCTGAGCAAGCACGAAGGAGACAGTGGAAAGAAAAAACTCCCTTTTAAAAGGAAGAAACCTCCAGAACCAGGCTAAGGACGAGCAGCCATCTGCTTTGACCAGCTGAAGTTTGAGAGGACAGGAAGGAGAAACCAACAAACATAGAATGGCAGGTCCACTTATAGGTGCAGGTGTACCTCCTATTGGAAGAAAGAAAAAAAAAACGTCAAGGATAGAATTAATTACAAATACATACAGGTAGAGTAGACCAAGTAAAGACAGCAGCCGAGTGAAGAAATGTGGTCAGTTTGTCCTCCACCAGTCTTGGCTTATAGCAGCATACCTAAGGGACAGCTCAGGAAACCCAAGCCAGCCCTAATCATAGGATTTATCAAAAAGGAAAGTCTTAAGCCCAGTCTTAAAACTGGACAATGTGTCAGCCTCATGGACAGAAACTGGAAGTTGGTTCCACAAGAGAAGAGCCTGATAACTGAAAGATCTTCCTCCCATTCTGCTTTTGAAAATTCTAGGAACCACAAGTAAACCTGCAGACTGTGAGTGAAGTGCTTTGTTTGAAAAATATGGAACAATAAGATCTGTAATATAAGATGGAGCTAGGTTGTTGAGAGCTTTGTAGGTTAGAAATCATTTTCATTATTCTGCCTGTTTCTTCCTGCAACTTGAAAGCTATGGAAATATAAAAGACAATAAAAAATTGCTTTAGAAGCAAATGACAAAAGAAAACAATTTTGTTTTGCCTCTTTTAGAAACACTTTATTTGTTAAAAGTCAAAGTTGAGATAAAAGAAAAAGGTTTTGCATTTTTCTGGCTTAACAGAAATAAACGAAAGTTACGTTTGTAACTATGGTTCTATGAATCCCGGATGACCGCCAGAGGGCGGTGCTGAAAGCACTGAATGTTCCCTTCGCGCATGCGCTGTTCGAGTAATAATAGCAATGGAGTCACAGGTGTGACATGGATGACCAATCAGCAGCTATATAGCCTGATGTCATCCACAGCTCTGCTCCTACAGAAGCTTCTCACGGAATGCAAGGATTCTGAGTGACAGAGAAGCTCTGGCGGTCATCCGGGATTCATAGAACCGTAGTTACATATGTAACTTTCATTCTTTTTCATCCCTCCTGACCGCCAGAGGGCGGTGCTGAAAGCACTGAATGACTAATACCAATGATGTCACAAGGAATCCTGAGCACACACCTCACTGAGGAGGCCCAGAGGACCCTTGCAGAAGAACCTGGCCCAGGGGATGAGGGGTGGCCACATTAACGCTGTAAAATCTGGTGAACGTGCTTGGGGAAACCCATGATGGAGCAGCACATATTGCTTCCAGCGGCCCAGGAAGTGGAGACGCTCTTGGTAGAGTGTGCCTTCACACCGACTGGCAGAGGGCCGTACCCTGCAGCATAGGCGTGGCAGATGACATCCACGATCCAGTGGGAGATGCGCTGTTTGGAAAGAGGATTGCCCAACCTAGGGCCTCCGTAACACACAAACAGCTGGTCTGAACGTCGTATAACAGCAGTAGCTGCAACATATGCCTCCAGTGCCCTCACTGAGCACAATAATCCAGACCCTTCGCCAGGCGTAAGCTGAAAACGTGCCATCTTCAACGGTTGGTTACAGTGAGAGTGAGATAACACCTTAGTACAAATGCAGTGTTTGGCCACAAGGTAACACAAGAGCCCTCAGGACCCCACCTGAGGAGCTGACTGTGAGAGCATGTAGCTCGCTGACCCTCTTTGCTGAGGCATTAGCCAACAAAAAAGCCGTCTTATATGAAAGCCACTTGAGGTCCGCCTGTGTCAGAGGCTCGAACGGAGGGTGGCACAGAGCTTCGAGAACCAAGGGCAGATCCCAACCTGGTTCTCGTGGAGCCGTCGGCAGGTGCAACCTACGGGCACCACACAGAAGAAGGGAGACTAGATTATGGCTCCCCACCTTACAGTAGAGGATGACACAGGAGTGGATTTTCACTCCTGTCCTGTCCTGGTCTCACAGAAAAAATCCTGTCCTGTCCCAATCCTGGTAACATGACTCCTTCTCCTGTTTTGCTCCTGTTTAGAATCACTCCCACTCCTGTCCTGCTCCTGTTTTTCATTTAATTTTTAGGAAATACATTGAATTTGATTTGATCTTCTACCCATTCCTGTTTAAATTACTTTGTGTTCTCTAGTTTTATTTCAAAAGATATGGCAACAGGAACAGTTCATCTGTGGTGAAATAGAGACATTTATTTCCTTAATCCAAACAAAAACCTTCACTAAATGTCATAAAACAAATAATACATGGCCTGTAGTCCATATAATTTTTCTATGGAGGATCAACTGCTTAGTCCCTGTTTCTAGCTCTTTTGAAGGTCAGTTACAGTAAAAACAAAAAATCAAAACCAGTACAGGGGTCACACCATATCTACCTTAGATGAAAGAACCCAAACATAACAAGTTGCATTTTACTAATTTATTGAGCAATTGTTTCCTTTAAACAGTGACATTACTGTCATGTTTTAAATTGTTTAAACAAACAAAAACAAATAAAGAAAAATAATGTACCAAGCAAGAGGACAAATAAAAATGTTTAAAGGCGTTATTATACATTGGACGACGTCCTCAAGAAGTTCAATCTATGTGGTTGAGGTAACGAGCTCATTTCGGTGAAGCATGATGTCGTGCATCTTACCAGACTTCAGAACATTTACAGACTGGAGCATTGCAGGTCTGGTGTTCCACCTCATCTCTCCACAATCTGTACAAGTTCTTCTCACCCTCTTTAGTATCCAGCCTCCCATACACCTCATCATACACCTTCTACTTTGCCTTAGCTACTTCCCTCTTTGCTCTACGTCCCATCTCCTTATATTCCTGTCTCCTCTCTTCAGTCCTCTCACTGTCATATTTCTTCTTGGCTAATCTCTTTCTTTGAATGGCGTCATGAACTTCACTATTCCACCACCAGGTTTCCTTATCATCCATTTTCTGTCCAGAGGACACACCAAGTACCTTCCTTCCTGTCTCTCTAATTACTGTTGCTGTAGTAGCCCAGTCATTTGGAAGCTCTTTCTTACCACCCAGAGCCTTTAACAGCTCCTCTCTGAATTTCTCACATTCTTCCTTCTTCATCTTCCATCATTTGGTCTTCTTCTCTGATTTTACTCTTTTCTTTTCTTCACAATGACAGTCATTCTACACACAACCATCCGATGCTGTCTGGCCACGCTCTCCCCTGCCAAAACCTTACAGTCCCCAATCTCCCTCAGATTTCCTCTTCTACACAGAATGTAGTCGACCTGCTTACATGTCCTCCATTCTTATAGGTCACTCTATGTTCCTCCCTCTTTTGGAAATAGGTACAGTATTGACTACGGCCATGTCCATTCTCTTTGCAAAATCTACTACCATCTGTCCGTCATGGTTTCTTTCCTTAACACCAAACCTACCCATAACTTCCTCATCCCCTCCGTTTCCTTCACCGCCATGTCCATTCAGGTCTGCTCCGATCACCACTCTTTCCTCCCTGGGAATACTCTATCCCTCATCCATATCTTTCCTAAATATTTCTTTCTCCTCCCCATCACATCCAACCAATGGAGCATAACCACTGACGATGTTTAGCATTAGATCTTCTACTTCTACCTTGAGGCACATCATCCTATCTGACACTCTCTTCACCGCTACAACATTCTTTGCCAATTCCTCCTTCGGGACTGTAGTGAACTAGGCCTCTGATCAAAACCTGCCTCTGAAGACCTTCATGGGACAGGAACTGTTATTTCATTGATTTTAATCCAGAAATACAAATGAGCTCATCCAGAGACTTTCTAATTGTATCCTGAACTAATCAATTGAAAGAACACTCTCTTTTTTATATTATCATTACTATTTTACAATATCTTGATAATCAAAAGTGGGTTTAGTTCATACCATTTTTAAATGTTGAAATGAACCACTCATTTTAAATCAACTGTGAAACAGTATTAATGATTTTTTAATCCTCATTCAAAGTAAAAATCAAGTTAAATGTCTTTGTTACAAAGTAATTATGCATTTTTGATCTTCTGTCTGAAATGAGAAGAGTGATGTCGGTCAAAAGTCGGAGACAGTCGAAAACAAGTTATTGGAACGAACTGTCGTGTTTTTAAACCTCTCAGACAGTAAATAAGAAAACTGGCACCTGTAAGTCTGTCATTTCTCCAAAATATTTTCTCATCTGTAACTAACCGTTCACAAAACATTCCGGCTGTTTTCTGACTTGTAATGACCCTCTGACGTCACTAAAACCACACCCCTGTTGGTTCCTTCAACCAATCAGGACTTCCTAAAAGTGACCGGAAGCAGAACTCTTTAAAAGTTCCATTAGTTCCGTGAGTTCCACGGAGTCCCTTCTGGTTCTGATGGAGTTCGGCTGGAGTTCCTAGGAGTTCTTCTGAGTTTTTCTCAGACTCAGTCTTCTGAGTCTAGTTGGGATTATGGAGTCTTCCACATCTGAGTGGAACCTCTGATGGACTCACAGCTCGCTGTGTATCCACCCGAGAGATGAGCGTGTTGTTGAACGGAGTACCGTCACTACTTCGGACGATTCTCAGCCATCCTGAGGAGACGCTGAAAGGTAGCGTTGAAATGGAACTCCGTACCGGAACTGACCTATCTTCTGCAAAGGTAACGTGTCGCTTCACTACCTAGTGTACCGGGGCTGAGCTGGGGTTGGATGAAGGGTGCCATTCCTCGTCAACACACTTTCTTCCTCCACATTTTCTCTCCATTTAAACTCTTTCATTTCCCATCTTTAAACTTCTATCTTGCCAGTAATTAATCCAGATGCCTTCAGAAATGTCTGTTGTTTTTATTAAGTAAGACGTGCCAAGTTTTATTAATCAGAGCCGATCAGTCTAATCAAGTGTACATTGTTTTGATGTTAAATTTTGATTCTGTTAATAAATGACCACATTTATTTTGATGGGTCAAAGAAAATTAACGTCTCATGTCACTGATTAAACCATCTACGCACAGTACATCTGTCACATATCTGTCTAGTAGCTCGAAAAAGAGAGAACCCGTTATTAAAATATGACTGTAGTGGAGCTCTGAAGCTAACCAAGCTAAATGAGCCTTTTAGCACACTACAGGACCACCCCATACTCCATTTCTCTTTCTATCTACACCATGGTAAAACAGTTTGAACCCTGCTCCAATACTGCGAGCCTTGCTGCCCTTCCACTTGGTCTCTTGGACACATAAAACATCTACCTTCCTTCTTTGCATCATGTCAGCCATCTTTCTACCTTTGCCTGTCATTGTCTCCACATTTAGAGTTGCAACCCTCACTCCTACATTCTTCACTTTCATCATCTCCCTCTGTCTCCTGACCCGTTTCCCTCCTCGTGGTCTTCGACTAACAGTAGCACAATTTCCACCAGGCCTCGACCGATCCGATATGGTTTCGCTTTGATGAACTCGCATTATGGTTTTGGCAAAAGTGTTTTACATCGGATGCCATTTCTGACACAACCCTCACCATTTACCCGGGCTTGGGACCAGCACAAAAGATACACTGGCTTGTGCTCCCTAGTCTGCACAAAGGTGTAGGAGGTGCTAAATAATTTAAAATTTATTAAAAAAAAAAAATTCATGCAGATCGTGCGGCTCATCCATCAATCAGCCAGTTGTGTGTCTTGTTCAAGCTTACTTTGAAAAACCGCGATAGTGAGTCTGCGAAAAATGAATCGCGAAGTAGCGAGTAAGAAAGAAAGAAAGAAAGTGCTATGTGTTATCATCATTGTACAGTTTGTTTCCATACAATGAAAAAATTAGTTCTCTGTATTTAACCCGTCACGTGAGATACACTCAAGTGCAGCAGCTGGCAGCTATGCAAGCGCCCGGGGAGCAGTTACTAGGATTAGGTGTCTTGCTCAAGGACATCACGACATGTGGGCATGGTGGGAAGTTGAACCTGCGACTTTCTGGTCCAAAGTCAGCTGACCTACCTCTACATCATTTTGACCCCAAAATCTTACAGCACCTGGTATTCCCAGGCATTCTCCCATCCAAGTAATAACCAGGACCGACCTTGGGAAGCAAGCAAACTGAAGACACTCTGAGGTGTTATTTCTGCTGTAAATGGTCTGTACTTATATAGTGCCTTTCTATCTGATCAAGCTACTCAAATCTCTTTACACTACAACCTGTGCCCTCATTTACCCATTCATACAGCACTCTACTAGATCTATGCAAAGAATAATCAGAGCTTAATCACATTCATATACCGATGGGACATACATCGGAGGCAATGAGGGGTTCAGTGTTCTGCCCAGGGACACTTAGGCATGTGACTGCTGGTGGAATCAAACCCCCAAGCCTTGAATTGGAGGACAACTGCTCTAACCACTCAGCCACAGCTGCCCTGTAGGTAGCTTTCAATAACTGAACGTACAAGTTTGTCTTATAAAATAAAGTATACTGGGTCTCAGATTTGGTCTTTGCATGAAATGCAGGTTGGAAGTCCGTTTTCTATCACCAATCAGTTGGTATGGTGTGTGTGTGTGTGTGTGTGTGTGTGTGTGTGTGTGTGTGTGTGTGTGTGTGTGTGTGTGTGTGTGTGTGTGTGTGTGTGTGTGTGTTTCAGCTTCCTGCCTAATGGCAAAGTAAGGAGTGTGTCCAGCCCTGTCATGGAGGAAGAGGCTCTGCCCACCGTTTCTACAGAGCTGAAAACAGTAACGCACATACACCAACAAACACAGGTAAATACATGTACACTAACACAACAAAATAAAAAATATAGAAAATCAAACACATTGAATACTTTTGATACTAATTTATGTTCATACACTGTTTTTGTCTGCAGTTTTTAAATGGTAAACTGACTGTACATGTATATAGCTCCTTTCTATCTAGCCAAAGCTCTTTACAATACAACCTGTGCCCTCATTTACCCATTTATACAGCACTCTACTAGATCTCTAAAAAGATAATCTGAATCTGTAGAGACTAATCAGAGCTTTAGATCATATTCATACACTGATAGGACACACATCAGAGGCAATGAGGGGTTCAGTGTCTTCCCCAGGAATGCTTCGACATAGTGCTAGGCGGTATGACCCAAACTTTATATTCAGATTCAGATATTCTTGTCATTCGCACCACATGTGGTACATGTACATGTAGTGGAACGAAATTATCTACTCAGTGTCCCAGTTACATCCAACAATAAAATATAAAAGAAAAACAGTAATAAGATCTAAGATATGAACTAAGAAAAACATCAACTAAAAATACACTAAGCAATAATAGCATAAAAACAATAAACATAATACGCCGAACAGCAGTACAACATGAGTCTGTGTGAACAGATGAGGATGAATGAACACAGCAACATGATGTGATTTTTCACAGTGATTATCCTGGTTATATATTCATGAATCTAACCGCCTCAGGGTTGAAGCTGTTCCTCAGTCTAGTGGTTCTACACTTAATGCTCCTTAACCTCGTTCCTGAGGGGAGCAGGGCAAAAAGTGTGTGTGCTGGGTGAGTGGAGTCCTTCATGATGCAGGTGGCCCTCTTCCTGCATCTGGAGGTGTAGATGTCAGTGGTGGTGGGGAGGCTGACTCCAACAGACTTTTGTGCAGCCTTCACCACTCTCTGCAGAGCTTTCCTTTCTGCAGCTGTGCAGCCTCCATGCCACTCCTTGATGCTGGAGCACAGGATACTCTCCACTGCACACTTGTAGAAGGAGGTGAGAACTGAGCTTCCCAGACCAGCTTGCCTCAGCCGTCTGAGGAAATAGAGTCACTGATGGGCTTTCTTGATCAGACTAGTAGTGATGTTGCCCCAGCTGACGTTGTCATTCAGGCGCACACCCAAGTGCTTGTAGCTGGAGACCACTTCCACCACAGATCCTCCTGGGGGGTGGGGTGTTCCTTCTGAAGCCCATGACCATCTCCTTCGTCTTCTTCATACTGATCTTCTACTTCTTTCGGCTGCTCCCTGCATTAGGGGTCGCCAAGCGAACTAAGTCGCACTACACATTGATGTAAAGAAAACTATCATGGTATTTTCAACATCTATACCGGTATCATGGTATTTGATGGTATTTTTCTTTTCATCACAGCTCAGCTGTTGTTAGCATATACAAACGCTGCTTATTGATCAGTTAACTGTGGTCAGCTGAAAGTACTCTCTTTCTGCAAAACAGAAACTATTTGACTTTTTTTTTTTACCATACCTCTCTCTGTGACACTGTTCCCCTCCACTGTCTTTTCTTCCTTTCCTGGTTGTAGTCATTAGTCGCTCATTCTGGGTTCACGTCACCTAACAGTGAGGGGAGGCAGGTCCAGTTGTGAATGAGGAGGGTTGAGCAAGGATCATCAGGCAAATTTACTTTGTGCATAAAATCTATCCATACGTGTCACTGAAGAGGTGTATTCTAAATTCAACGCTTGTGAAAACGGGAGGTTTTAGTTTTCTGTCATCCAATATAAGCAGCGAAATCACCACCCGCTGCCAGTTATTGAGAAGGCTGCTCAGACAATGACACTAGCTTGCTGCTACTTCCTGCATGCACGCTCATGCACAGAAAAGTGTCCCCCATGAAACAATTTACTGGCGAGTGTGACGAAACGTTCCAAAAGTGTGCAATTTAAACCAGTATACTGGTATTTGGAAAATTCACATAACAAAAATTAAAAATGGTTGTCGGTACGAACCGGTATACCGCCCAGCACTACTTCAACATGAGACTGCTGGTGGAATCGGACCCCCAACTCTCCTATTGGAGGACGACTGCTCTAACCACTCATCCACAGTTGCCCATTTGTTTGCAGCCTAGAAAAATATCATGTTTAGGTTAGTTTGTTCACTGGGTTGTGAATAGGCGTCCAAAAAGTTTTAGAAAAACTAAGCAACTGGACTTCTTTTCTGTAGTTGAAGACATTTCTTGCTGCAAGATGGCCGCGCTCAGAGCAGTTGCAGCTTCACAGGCTCCCGGTACTATCCCAGTTTTTAGAAGTTTTGATATTGACTCTGTGCCTGACTTTGCACGATTTATGCGTGTGACCTATAGCCGAACCGAATTGATGAGAATAGGAGCGGATTTGCCACGAAATATAGCAGAAATCAGCAACAAACTCAAAACTACACTTGGAAGAATGCAGATCTGGAAGCTGCAACAGAGGCGTTCCAAGGGGCAGAAGAGGAAACGCTGCTCCCGTCTTAAGAGCACTCACAAGTTCTATGCACGCTTTGAAGACCCGAACAGACCACCCAGCACCAGACTCACCTCGCCACCGGATGAAGAGCATCTCAGCGTGACCTCAGCAGAAGTAAGGAGTACCTTCAGGAGGATTAATCCGCACAAAGCAACTGGCCCAGACAACATCCCCGAAAAAGTGTTGAAGGAATGTGCTGATCAGCTCTGTGAGGTGCTGGCAGACATCTTTAACACCACACTTACCCTGGAGACAGTTCCCACCTGCCTGAAGACTGCCACCATCATCCCAGTCCCAAAAAGCTCTACAGTGACTGGTCTGAATGACTATCGGCCAGTGGCCCTCACCCCGATAGTCGCTAAATGCTTCGAAAAACTGGTCATGACTCACATCAAAACAACCATCAACATCAACGAGGACCCTCATCGGTACGCATACCGTGAGAACCGATCAACAGAGGATGCCATCTCCTCTGTGGTCCACACTGTGCTCAACCACCTGGAGCAGAAAAACTCTTACGTCCGTATGCTCTTTGTGGACTTCACATCCGCCTTCAACACCATGATCCCCCAAACCCTGATGGACAAACTATCCACACTAGGACTAAGCCCCTCCATCTGCAACTGGGTACTAGACTTTTTAACAAACAGACCACAGTTAGTGAGGATCCACAACCTCTCCTCCTCCACCATAACGCTCAGCACTGGCTCTCCTCAGGGATGTGTGTTGAGCCCCCTTCTGTTTACTCTGCTCACATATGATTGTGCAGCTACCCATCCAGGCTGTCACATTGTAAAGTTTGCAGATGATACAGCGGTGGTGGGATGCATCACAAACAATGATGAGTCCAGCTACAGGCAAGAGGTGGAACACCTGGAGAGCTGGTGCAGAGAGAATAACCTTCACATCAATGTGAAGAAGACAAAGGAGATGATTGTGGACTTCAGAAGGAACAAAAACACCTACACCCCCCTGAACATAAGAGGATCTGCGGTGGAAGTGGTCTCCAGCTACAAGTACTTGGGTGTACACATGAATGACAACCTCAGCTGGAGCAACAACACCACCAGCCTGATCAAGAAAGCTCATCAGAGACTCTACTTCCTCAGACGGCTGAGGCGAGCTGGTCTGGGAAGCTCAGTCCTCACCTCCTTCTACAGGTGTGCAGTGGAGAGCATCCTGTGCTCGAGCATCAACGTGTGGCATGGAGGCTGCACAGCTGCAGAAAGAAAAGCTTTGCAGAGAGTGGTGAAGGCTGCACAGAAATCTGTTGGAATCAGTCTCCCCACCATCACAGACATCTACACCTCCAGATGCAGGAAGAGGGCCACCTGCATCATGAAGGACCCCACCCACCCAGCACACACACTTTTTGCCCCACTCCCCTCAGGAAGGAGGTTAAGGAGCATTAAGTGTAGAACCACTAGACTGAGGAACAGCTTCTACCCTGAGGCTGTTAGACTCATGAATCTCTAACTAGAATAATCACTGTGAAAAACCATATCATGTTGCTGCTGATCTGTTTCATGTTGCTGCTGATCTGTTTCAATGTTGATGTGTTCATGCGTGCACATCTGCTCACAGACTCATGTTCATGTTTGTGCTGATGTTCAATGTTTTATGTTATGAGTGCTTAGTGTATATTTAGTTGATGTTTTTCTTAGTTCATATCTTAGATGTTATTACTGTTTTTCTTATACATTTTATTGTTGGATGTAACTGGGACCCTGTGTACATAATTTTGCTCCACCACATGTACCACATGAGGTGCGAATGACAATAAAGAAACTCTGACTCAAGTCTAAACCTGTATAAATAAAGGTTGAATTGAAATTACTATGCCTGTGTATGAAT